TTTCTGGCTGGCCATCTGATCTTGAGTATTGGGCAAAGACAGCTGTTAATGGAGGTATGTGGTTTGTTTGAGATGCTCTTTATGACGCGCCAAATCTCTGATCCGCATAAGGTAGCAGTGACAGACTACATATTGGAGTTGAAAATCCGGATGTAATTTTCATTTTCGTGCTGAGTGCTGTTGACCTCCACACAGACTTGAGAGTAATGAAAGCTTGCCTTGCTTTCTCGATCATCCTCGCTTTGATATCTTCATCAATTCCGCCTGTTGTTGAAACGGTGCTTCCCCGGTCGGTAGGTAGTTGAATGAGGTTGGTTCTTTCAGATTTCACCCATTTATGCTGGCTGACTGTTGTCTGTTGTTGATGCTGTTGCTGTTGGCCAGGAATCTCCATCACCTCTGTTTTCTCTGTGTTCACCTGAAGTGAATTCCCATCTTTGATTCTTCTTGTGCAAACGTGTTGCTTTTCATTTGCATATGTTCCAGTTTGTGGGAAATCAGGCATTTATCATCGGCGAAGTTCAAGTCAATTTGTTACAGAAAAACTCTTCAAATAGAATTTGTCCTCCAATAAATTTGACTCATTCAAATGCCTCCCGAAATCCCATGCTTAACAATAATAATAATAATAATAATAGAATCCCTACGTAGGATCTCATATTTCCCTTCCTTATATGATACATTATTGTCTGCACCACTACTCTTATTTTTCTCTTGTCTCTTCTGATCAGTAAGATGCGGTGGGTAGTTATTCACTGGAGGTGTTTTTCTTATCTCAAAAATAAATAATAAATAAAGAGATATATAAGCGAACAATATTGTTATTTTCAATTAGGTCTTCTTCAGGTTTTAATCTAATTTACGTAGATTTATACATAACAATTTCAACCAATCACGGTAATTTTGTGGATCAAATAATAATAATAATGATAATGTGGTAAATGTTTTGAACGTCAGTAATAACGATGAATATAATGATAACGAAATAATGATAATACGGTTTATGCTGGTGGCGATAAGAATAACGAAGGTAGTAATATGTGTGTGTGTATATCTATAGACAATTCAACCAGTAAATTAGGTCGAAAGTTACGTGTTACTAAAGGTGAAGTAGACGGACAGTCAACGTTCCGATAAATATCATAAAAGTACGTAGGCAATGGAAATAATAAGAAAGGGTAGAAGGGTTTTAATTAGAATTTACCCAGGCCAAGGGAGGGACAAGAATTGTACTCTCGAATTAATTCCCATAGCTTTTTCGGCTATGTGTAAAAGGCGGGTTTGAATTCCTTTGAAAAAAATTCGATGAATTTAGGTAGATAACCTTGAAGGCATTTCTTTTGTCCGCTTATTGACCGCTATCATCAATCGAATGAGACAAAATAGGATTTCTTATAGATTTTATTTAGCCTTTTCTGAACTATGAAGGAAAATGCTCAATAATACGTTTGTTGAACTGTCTAGTTGTTCGCGCTACACATAGCTATGTCCTCAGGGGCAGCTAAATTTATAAATGCATGTAGAAGTGGCACAACTAAGCAGCTTATCTTTCATTTGGGCAATCATGATTGGTCGGCTGGAAAATGGGAAACAATGGGTGGCAGCAGTATGAGTTCGTTTTGTCCCACAAATTCACCGTCATCGGTTTAATTTTTTTTAAATATATAAATTTATGTATATTAGAGTAATGGCTGAAGGAGTTTTAATTTGAAAACACTAGTGTTCTCTTATATGCCTTGTTCTAATTTTAGCAGTGGGAGTATTTAAAAATTTTCTTTATTTGTTTTATTGCCTTATTTAATGCATTTCATGGTGAAGTGCAATCACTTTTATGTTTCTTTTCATTGCCTGCACGTTTAAACGAAACTAATGATCTGAGTAATAGAATATGCTTGATCCAAAAATGTTGTTTTTGATCACAAAGAAAGGGATATATTTCTGAAAAAAGCAGTAATATTTTAAAAAAAAACAATGTATGGGACTGGCTCATTCATGTAAACGTTTCATTTTCATTTAGTGAGGCCTTTGTTCGAGTCCGCCTTCATCTATTTCAACCTAGACAACTGGGTGGTATCATCAGCCCTAATAGAGCACATGTATGACTTATATCAGCGTAACTGTTAACCAGCGGGATATTCTGCTGCAATAACCAAATGGAAAAACTGCCTCTCTTAGCTGCACACTTAGAGAACTGAACTATGAAGTCGTAGGCCCCTTGTTCGAATCCTGCCACCAGGTAATTTTTTATTACATCTTCAAATATCACTTAGTATATTAGGACCTATTTACCAAACCAGGACTATAATAGCTCTATTCCAGACAGTACTTTAGGTACAAATATAGAACTTTTAGCATGTAGTACAGTATTTTGATGTGGTTTTGTTCTCTGAGCTGGATGGTTAGTTTGCGAAGCTTTCATCACCCTACTGGGTGATATCTTCAGTGTATACTTCAATTTGAAGTCATGTAAGAAGAAGAAGAAGACGGAAAACAGAGGAGGAGAAAGAATAGCACTTGCTGAACAACACCGCCTTAATTGAGTGGAACATTGGAGGACTTCTCGTTGTAAACAGTACACTGCTTCCTATCAGAAAAGTAGAAGTGCAACCACTTATTATTTCCATCACTCTGCTTGTGTAACAGGAATCTTCATTAACAGAAGAGGCCTAGGTAGAGATTCAAAGGTAGATGGTGGTCTGACATTCAAAACAATGCATAGCTAGATGTATATAATGTTCCTATCAATTTAAGTGAATAGTTAAATAAAAATCAGTAATTTTTCGGTCAATAGCTTGTTTCCAAATGCTCAATTTGGATCATTCCAACCTATTTACACGTTTTGTTTAAATTCAGGTCAAGGACATATATATCTATATATACATAATGTAAAAAGTAAATTGGAATCCAGTTGACGAGGGTGGGTGGGAATGTTGAAAGCATATCATCGAGGACTTTTTACACTGATAAATGGGATATTAGGCTATTATGATACACACAAATACACACGCACATTCACACATGTAAGACTACATACATTGAATATATATGTCGGTGTAGATGTATATCATTTCCTCGGTCACTTAATTTCCTACTTACATATATGTCCTTTTCAGTAATCGATGTTCATTAGTAAATGGAGAAGAAATGGGCTAAAGTGATATAAAATTTCCTATATCTTTTTCTGCTCTCTTCAGATAAGTACTTTAAACACAAGCATGACATGAAAATCTGAAATAGCTCTCTATCTCTGTGTGTGAGTGTGAGTGTGTGTATGTATTTAACTGCAGAGAGTAGAAATCTGGACAGCTAGCTGTTTAGCCCTATTTTTGGGATCAGCAGTGAGAAGTCGTAATCAGCTGGTTTATCAAGTGTGGTAAGAAGACGATTAATTGCCTGACTTGACATTGGCTAGTGGTCACGGTATATCTTGAATTGATAGGAGTTAGAATTCATGGGCTGGCCATCGAGTCGGTGGCTCCTGGTGGCTCGATGGTCTACCAGCTTGACTTGTAAGCGAAATTTTCTGGGTTTCAGCCTTATTGAAGGTGTCCAACTGAATTATCAGTCACGCTTTAGGACTAAATATTTGTCGGTGTTACAGGATTACATCATGAGCTGACATTAGTTAGAGAACCATTGGAAAACCTGGGAGTACTGGACAGCTGTTTCGTCAGCCAAGTTTTGGAATCTTCATCAGTACTCACTTACCACCATCGTTCGAACCCAAGACCTTCTGGTTACAAGGCGAGCTGGTATACAATTAAACCATTGGAACCCAAATTCAATGGCCAACCCATGAATTGTGACTTCTGCCAATTCACGACGTAGCACGACCCCTAGCCAATGTCTTCGGTGAGTATTTGTCCTCACACTAAACCTGCTGCACCCTACTGGTCACGTCTTCTCCCTAGAACGTCAGGTAACTGCCTACGTGAACAGCGCCAGTCGCCTGTGAGCATCTCATCGTAACCGGTAGGGTGCAGCAGGTTTAGTGTGAGGACAAATACTCGCCGAAGACATTGACTAGCGGTCGCGCAATGTCATGAATTGGCAGAAGTAAGAACTCACGGGCTGGCCATTGAATCGGGTCCCAATTGCTCAATGGTCTACGAGCTCGGTTGCCTTGTAACCGGAAGGTCCTGGGTTCGAATGATGGTGGTGAGGGTGTACTGCTGATGAGTCCCAAACTTGGCTGAAGAAACAGCTTTCCAGTACTCCCAGGTCTTCCGATAGTTCGCTTTATATTAATGTTTCAGCTGAAGATGTTGTCTAGAAGAGGACTGCGAAAGTTTCGTAATTAAACTACCCATCTTAGAGAACGCTACTACACGAATATATATATATATATATATATATATATATGTAATACAATTACACTGTGAAAGGATGCTTAGTACATATTGAATAGAACCATGCAATCTTCCGAAAAATAATAACAGCATTCATTAATTGCCTCAAAATCATACCAGTTGTTTTGGTGAAGTGGCTGTAATGGTGAGATAGTTTACTCAATAGGGCATATGAAGCGATGGGTATTGAGCTGGAATCCCAGAGCAATCCCGATTACTCATTTCGGGTGTAGAATGAGACGAGTGTCGTTGACTGTACTTCTAGTCACTACTACAGCAACAAATATCTTCGCGTTCCTAACTGGATGGTTTGATTGTGAGGCTATGATTCCGTGGGAATTCGTGACAGATTGCGGTAATGAAGGTCAGGCATGAGGAGAAATACTCGACGATGAGATTAGCTATTGCTAATTCTTGCTATCAGGAATTCGCAGAAGTTGAGAATCAAGGGCTGGCCATTAGATCTGATCCCAGTGGTTGAATGGTCTGCGAATTCGCGCTTTCTCTGGATTTTCCTGAGTTTGAATTTTGATTTAATTTCTCACTTAGATTATTATTCATATATATTACTTGTTAAGATTTGAACTAATCTCATACTGTTTTGATAAAGTTATCAGAGTCTTTTATTTATTCTTCAACAATTTTTGGTAGGTACTTACACGGGACTCGGTAACAGTTGCCGTTGATGCTGTTGTCTATTATCGAATATACAATCCAGTGGTAGCAATTACAAATGTGGAAGACGCAGATCGTTCTACACGTCTTCTCGCAGCAACCACTTTGAGAAATGTGTTAGGTACAAAGAATCTATCTGAAATTTTATCAGAACGTGATATTATCTCCAGTATGATGCAGGTTAGTTAGTACTGAAGATTTTTATATTTTGGTTGAAGAAGTTAAAACCTGAGTACACAGTAGGATGTCAATTCACGTCGCATGGGAATGAATGCAGGGGTTTTTCGCTATCTGCAAGAAATTAACGCTATATGGAAGATATTCAGACTTTCTATCATTTTTAAGTAGCCTAAATTACAATTATTTGGTTGGTAATGGATGCACATTTCCTCCTGTTCAGGACTCATTATCTGGGTGTATCTGTATCCACAGTAGGCGACAGAGTTCCTTTCGAGACTTGAGTCAGCCTTTCGTTGTTTCAACCGCCTAATTGGGTGATGATCGCCATCTTTTTTACAATAGGTATCGATATTTGTTTGTGGAACTACTCAAAGACTGATCGCACTGAATCAAAATGTACTGATACATCGATTCCGAGAAAGGAACCTTCAAAGATGTTGAATATAAAGGAATGAAAAGCAAATACATGATAATTTAATGAAATACTGATAAAAATGACATGAAGCGTTTAGAAAGAATTTTATGGAATAAATGTGTGTGCACGTGTGTCGTTTTGCTCGTGTAGAATTCATGGATTTTTCAGGATGAAGTGATCATCGCAACTATTTTACAGTGAGAACCATTTCTAGAGTATTCAGCCCATCTTTTCATTTAGCTTCAAGAATGCTAATGTTTTATATTTTGTGACTTACTGAGCAGATCATACTACATTTTGTATATACAGTCGGCACACTGTAGACATCTGTGAGTTATGAGTACACAATGTAGGCTTTAAATCACGGATTACACACACACACTTACACCTTAGATCAGAGGAAATATTAAAAAGACGGTTGAAGAGTGTAGAAAACGTAATCAACTAAGCTGTACATTCATACATCTATATTAAATGATTGAGAAAGTTCCAGGACTACTTCTGGGGGAAAGCTCAGATTAATATAATTGCCAATAGGGACTGAATTCTATCAGTCAGGTTGTAATGTGGCCACTATTCTAGGTAGCGCGCCATCATGGTGCACATTGGTTTGATGTTGTTATATAGTTGGAGGCAATCGGCAACAGAAAGCCTTGGGCATAGGTTTCGTGCTGTTTGGCACTCATCAGCAAAGCGTATCTGCAACTGTCTTGAAGGAACTCATGTCCCTTCTGTGATTCGAACCCGCGTCACTCAGTGAGAGCTGCACTCAGAGACGTTACCACTGAGCTATTTGGGCTCGCAATTGACCTCCTGTAGGATTGTAGTTGATATTTTTGATTGGACACTAGTAACTAGTGTGACGTGTCTAGTCCTTTCTTTGGTGCAGACTGAATTCTATCAATCAGGTCTACAAAAACAAATGGACTTGAGAAAGCATGCGAAACTTTGTCTTTCACATGCTAATTAAGAGTATTTTATTTTTGAAGGAAATGTCACTCTTTGTTTGGCGGTAAAGTATGTAGACTTTATGGAGATGAATCGTCATTTACATTCTACTTGTCTGAAGGAAGACAAACACAACAAACAGTTTGCTAATGGGAATTTCGGTTATTTAATTATATAACAGAATATAGTCAAAAATAATAAAAAAATACTCTATTAGTATTTTTAGCCTCAGGTGATAAATTCTAATCTTGAGTGTTAGTTCATTCTCATGCATATAACTTGATTGAATGTTGTGAATGAGTTTCAGTAGCAGATGTCGTTTCTATGACTATCTTGTCAGTTTTGCAAAAGCTCATCACTGCTTGTCACATGGATATATTAATATCCAGACAAATTTATCTAGAAACACATGACAAAGAAAGCGGCGGAAAATGACTACTCACTATCTGTAAACAAGAAGCCACTTTATATACGACTAAAATTCAAGGGCGATATACCAAGTGAGATAATTAGGGGGAAATTAAGAAAATCATTTCAAAGAATTTATAATGCTGGCGAACTACTCGTATTACTCTCTACACGACTGATGGTGCTGCCATGACTGAAAGATGAAGTACCTAGACTAGCTGGCCACTTCGAATTGTATCTACCAATTCAACTGCGCTTTTGGCGGAGCGAGTTATATCGGCTGTTGTTCTAGGAACTTGAATTTTCGTGCTCACTCGAGAACATCTCCCAGTATGGCTAAGTGAAGATGTAGTGGAAGCCATCAACAGTTCGATATTGAACCATTTGGTACAAACCAGCCACAAAGCCAGCTAGCGTGGAAGAATCCTTCTCCATAATCTACCGGGTAAATTGTCAAAATCATCGAAGCACCGAATGCTTCAAACAGCAGTGGCTATGGCGATTCGCCTGAAGTAACTAGTGCTCTGTGTTCAAAGGAAGCAAGTCCAGCCCCTACTAGTGAACTGGCCTTCAATGGAGACTATGAATTTTATGAAATTACATTGTTATTTTTCCTAATTTGTCTGACATTCAGCTTATTTTATGTTGATGCTATTGAGCTGTAATCTATTGGTATTATTATTGATTCAATGTTATTTAAACAGCAACATTATTGTTGTTCATAACACTAATTCATTCATTCACTATAATGTATATATAACTGTAGAGTTTTTGATGAGGAAGGGGTTTTCAAAAAGAGCACTCTTTGTTCAATATCTATTCTTTTGAAAATTTTTAACGATCATTTTTAATCAGTTAGTATGTTTCTGTATTATAATCTATAGACTATGTTGGATGAAGCGACAGATCCATGGGGTGTGAAAGTAGAACGAGTTGAAGTGTAAGTTAATTTATGTTACACATTATTATTGTTACTATTGCATTATTATTATGGATCTTCTCACGCTTAAATTATTTGACTACACGAGGTGGTACAACTCACGGTAATATGTCTTTTCTTCAGTTTTTCTACTGAAGCAGACACTCGTGTCATTTCATTTCAATTAATCAAGTTCTTTCACATGAGTTATTGTTTCACTGCTCATGTGAAGTGGAAACGTATAAGCTAAGATGTTCAAATTAGACGCAGAATATCAGATGAAGGTTAACGCTCATTCAGTGAAGCTGAAATTATTCACTAGCTGAGTTGTCTTTGAAGAGTGAATTAAGCACAGTTGTAGAAAATGCATCTATTTTTTTTAAAACTTTTCCCACCTGAATAGTCAAGTTTATTCAAGTGTGAAACAGTTAGTTTTATTCGAATTATGGATATGATTCTCTGCAGTACATTGACTGCTAGCTCTCATTTTTCCCTTACACTGTTTTCTCTGTGTCACCCTCGAGCCCACATCCCATTCACAGTCTCCTGTTCGAGTTTCACTGGAGGTATGGTCTGGTCAGGGATGTTACTCAAAGGTCTTCTACTCAGCGTGTGTCAAATCCATCACCGTTTCCTTATGCATATTCGGCAGCCAATACCCTCTTGACTAGCTAATCTCCAGAGTTTCTTATTACTAATTCCTTCTGAACAGCGATGACATCTGTTTACAAAAGTCTTCAGCCTATAGGAAATGCTTTTTAGGGGAGGGAAAGAGTCAGGTCTCTGACCCAAGAGAAGCACTGACATAACATTGGTCCCTTTGATTTTATGATATATTAGATAGTTGGAGGCAATCGGCCACAGGAAGCCTTGGCTGCACGTAGGTTTCGTGCTAGTTGGCACTCATCAACAAGGCGTATCTGCAAACCTGAAGGGACTCCAATCAAATCAAATCACCCACTACAGTCCTACAGGAAGTCAAACGAGAGCCCGAATAGCTCGGTGGTAACGTCTCTGATTTCCGCTGTCACTGGGTGAAGCGGGTTCGAATCTCAGAAGGGACATGAGTTCCTTCAGCGTTGCAGATAGTCTTTTCTGACTGGTGAGTGCCAACTAACACGAAACGTCTAGGTTCAAGGCTTCCTGTAGCCAATTACCTTTAACCATTTAATATATCATCATATCAATATGCACCATGATGACAAGCTACGTAGAATGGTGGCCACTGATAGAATTCAGTCTGCACCGAGGAAAGCACTAGACACGTCACATTAGTTACTAGTGCCCAATCAAAATATGTCCTTTTTATAAATTTGGACAATGTTATTCAAGGACGGAGATTATCTGTAATATGTGATGAATTCGAGCTATACATTTCGAATAATCTGATCACACATTTAATTGTCAAGTGGATAAATAGATGAAAAAAATAAAGGGCAATTCAATTAAACAAAGTGACAAAAAGGATTTAAGAATAAATTATAATAATTGACACAACGTTTGGTAATCCAGTCAAATAAGGATTACCAAGGTAGTTTAAAGGTAATATTAAACTGTTTTGGAATACACTAGGGGGGGAGAGGAGCTTAAGTTTATGAATAGCTATAGCCTCAGCGTATTTCAATAAGCACTCTTGACCATTTTTATAGATGACCTTGAAGGTTGCATTAACATCAATCTTATGGTTCACCTCGATTAGGTGTTTAGCTATAGACGAAGTTGGTAGTTTGACACCTGCGTCTATTGATTTCCACAATTCATTTGTTTTTCTAACCATACGTTAATTGCCACAGTTTCTGTCCATTACAGTAGAAGAGAGGCTTGGTGAAATGTCTATTTAAGAGGATTCAACGCGTTTGCATGGCTGATGTTATAGACTAACAAAAACGAAATATTGATGGACACTCTTGTTCAAAACGGATATCCTTTAAAATTTTTTCGATCAGGTGTAGAAGTCAATTAATCTTTAAACCTACTATCGATACTGCCCCTAAGAAAAATGTTTTTATCAAATTTCCGTATAATGGGGGAAATAAGCAGTAGGATTTTGGGACAAACGTTAAAATTCCGTCATCCGCAAGGAATTATTATGCAGCCCATCTTGTAATTATCGAAAAAGCCAAAAATATGCTCCCCTGCAAACCTTAAAAGTGCACAAGTGATTATGTCACATCCCACACAATTTACCAACTTTTGTGTGTGAGTGTGTGTGGAACATATACATAGGGAGGATTAATCATGCTTTGCATATGAGACTTCACAAGTAAATGTGTGATCGAACTGTTCTAGTTGTATAGTGCAAATTCATCACATTTTACAGATAATCTCCGTCTTCTTATAACACTATCGAAAATTAGAATCTTATTTCACAGTTATTTCGGCATGGTGAAGGTCTGTCTTGCTTTTCTAATTCTGGTATTGACATCCTCATCCGTACGGCGTGCTTGTAGTGAAACGATACTTCCTAGATAAGTGAAGGAACTAGCCAATTTCAAATTTTTTTCTCTGGTGGTGATTGGTGCCTCTCTATGTTAACTTGGAGCCCTGTCTTTGCTTCCTGCCTCTTAAACAGACTTGTTAGTTTTCAACTGGGTATTTTGTTTAAGTGTTCGTAACATTAAACATAATACCTAAGTGGAGTTCAGATCTTGTAGAGTATTTTTTCCTGTCCAGTTAACTCCTGTCTTCTTGCTGCCCGTGTTCTTCTGCATAATCCAGTCCATCATTACTATTTATTATTATTATTTCTTTTAATTCCTAGAGGAACATGGGGCTTCAGCTGCATATCTCCATTGCGTTCGGTTCTCTGCTGATAACCTGGCTCAAGGTCTGCCCACATGCTTTCATCTCCACCTCACATTACCTCCTCCAAGTCACATTCGGATGACCAACTTGCCTCTTCGCTTTCGGGTTCCACTGGAGTGATGGCTTGTCTAGTGATGTCACTTGGTGATTTCCTCAGAGTATGGCTAGCCAATCCACCTCCATTTCTTCATGCTTATTTGTTGCACAATTGGTCCCCGGTTGGTTTGCTCGGAGAGATCCCTGTTGCTTATCTTTGCTGGCCGGCTATCTGATTATGAGTATTTGGCGAAGGCAACTGTTGATGAATGTGTGTAGTTTGTTTGAAGTGCTCTTCATGACGCACCAGTTCACCAATCTATCATTATAGGCACTTTCGAGTTTTCTGTAGTGAATCACTTGGAATATGTGGCATTCTTATATAGCTGTTGAATAAGACTGATAAGGATTTGAAGTACTCCACAGTGTTGAAGTAGTTTCCAAATTGTTTGAAGGTCAGCACCACTGAAGGCTTCTTGGCAGTAGTTACTTAAGTCTAATAAAGTCATAATAATGTCCACTTCTTTGTAGTTGAAATGATATTATTACTATTGTTACAAAATATCTTTGTTCGTCCTAAAAGCCCCCTGTCAGTCAACTTACCATCTATTGCTACAGATGGAAATAAGTAGTAGGAGACCACTCGAGTCAATAGGAAAGTCGCCTTCCATGAACCTTATCAAACTTAACTCAGCATGGAGCAGATGCACCTTGAATTTTTAGAATTCTAACAAACGACTTGTCAATCCTTTGGAGAAAAAGTTTGGAAGTGTCTAAAACTGGAACATTTCCAGACATACACGTAAACAACGAATATTTTACATTATAGAATCAGACCTAACATAAGTTCTAAATCAATTAGCAAATGGTTTTATGCATCACCAATTTTATTTGTGCCCTTTCTGAGATATTACGTGTAAAAAGCAATGTAAAAGATTGTTAAACTCGAGTCTTTAAAGTAATCACTTCCTAAAGTCACATAAGCTTCGTAGGCTGAGCGGTAGAATGCTCGCCACCCACTCAAGTGGTTCGGAATTCCATCCCAAGCCGACCCCCTCTTTTACCTCGCTAAGCCAGTAATTGAACTAGTAAAGACAGAAGGTTGCACATGAGGCTTACAACTACATCCCGTAGAAATAAATACCACTGCTGCCGAAACCTCAAGCTTCTAGCCTGAAGCCTTGTGTTCTCATGGGAAGCAATGACCAGCAGAGTGCATGCGGTAGGTTGAAGGTGAGGCAGTAACTCATCGAAGAAGACATTGCGAAGTGGTCGAGACATGTCATGAGTTGGCAGAAGTTGAAGTTCATGGGCTGGCCATGGGATCCGTTTCCAGTGGCTCAATGTTGTACTAGCTAGCTCGCCTTGTAAGCAGAAGGTCCTGGGTTCGAACTCTGTCAGTGGGTGCGTACTACTGAAGAGTCCCGAACACGACCGAGGAAACAGCTGTCCAGTACTCCCTGGGTGGTTTTCCAATGGTTTTCTAACTGATGTCAGCTCATGATGAAGTCCTCAAACTAATCAAACAAAATCCCTACAAAACCAGTATTTGAATATAAAAAAATAATGAAGTCATCTAAATCCAATTAGTGTCCTTCATTAAATAATTAGAACAAAGGCGTAAAAGAATAATTTTGAAGTCTTTTTAAAGTACATCGTTTCTCAGCTTTGGAAAGCTCTTTATATATATATATATACCAATGACCTACTTCCTACCTACTTCCTACTTCCTACTTAATTTCTGTTCATTTTGCATAAATCCTTGGCACTGGATGGCTGTCATTTTCTAGAAAAATAACCAAATAAACAAAAGTAACTGAAATATACATAAATTAATTAACGACTGTCAAAATTTTGACTTTCGTCCATTTATTATGATAAGTATTATTTTCGACATAGGTCATGAAATTATCAAGCGAACAAAGAGATGACGTCGTGTCCACCTATGCAGTTTTACAAAAGTGTCTATTTTGCTTCCTCATTTAACTTTCACAATTCTTAAAAAATTCATACTGTGACTAGTTTAGCTAATCTTGGGTGCACAGGATGGTATTGTAGTAGTGGGAGGTGGATGCATCAAACACCATTTATTATTGATAATAATAATCTAATTTATTACAAAAAAATACTGCTTATAATACAGAATGGAATTCTCAGCATTTGTCACAACACCTTGCATA